TGCTAATTCCTGAAACCTATAAAACTTGTACCCGTGCTGTACACGGGTGTGCATTCTGCCATCAAGTTGTGCACCTGGGATCCCAAATCCCGAGGTAAAACCCTTTTTATCCCCTTAACCGTGTCTGTGTCATTATTAAAAACTGSCCTTTCAAGGCAACAGTAGGGAGTGAGATACAGGCGCTGGCTCAGGGTTAGGCTCTGCAATCTCTGCACGATCCGTGTTTCTCAGGCACTCATAATTCCATCTCCTCTTTCCTGTCTGCAGGTGAAAAATTTGGCTGCCTTAACGCTGGTGGTGATGGACTTAAGGTGGATGTGGAATAATTCTGTTCTGCTGAGCTGACAGCGGGAGAGAAGCTGTGAAATGTGGGGTGAGCAGGTGGGCCAAGCCATGACCTGAGAGGGTTCTTGGCTTTCTCTTCACGCCGTCATTTCCCCTTCCTGCCCCTTTCCTGCCATTTTCTGAGGGATGATTTAACAGGGTCACTCAGCTGGCACTGGGGAGGACATTCCTGGCAGGGTGTGTGTGTGTGGGGAGGAGGTGGTGGAGCAGCTGATGTGTGACACTGAGGACAGGCAGGACAAAGCCACCTCCACCAAAAAAACCCTCAGGCTGTCCCTCTGCACTCACCTGGCGCTCACTGAGCTCAATTGGTGCCTCAAATATGGTCCAGATGACCCCCTCGTAGCAGTCAGGGGTGGTGAGGGAGCCTTCATAGCGATAATACCTCCCAAGGTCTTCCTCAGGTGGGAGAAGGGAGCTCAGTGGCAAAGGATCAATCTGTGCTGTTTGCCCTGAAAAAATATCCTTTTAACCCTTGTGGCTGCAGGTTTTGTTCCCATTTATCATCACTCCATKCAGCATGTGAAATCCCTGGCACCGGTGTCTTACCTTTGTATYTAATATTCTCTAATTCATTCAGTAAAGTCGCGTAGTTTGTATTTTCTTCGTCGGCCTGAAAGGGAAACACTTTGATTCCACATCATGCGKTTCTCAACGAGTGTTTGCTTTTAATTGGTGGTTAATAAACCAGAAAAAGGACCACAAGGAAAAGTAACAGCGAGCAGGATGTAGGGAAGGGTGAAAAAAAAAGCTGGCAGAATGCCTGCAGAAGATGGGGAGGCTGAAGTTGTGAGCTGCTGTAACATTGACACAATCCCTCAGCCCAACAATTTGAGGGGGGCAATTGAAGATTTCCCTGCCTACCTTTACAAAGAAGGCCAGCACAGCCAAACCATCTGGGTTTTGCTTGGCTTCTGCCACATTCGAAGCATCTTCTCTGATGTGGACGAGGTGAAGCTGGAACACAACAGCCAAGGGTGATTATTTCACCCTCAGATCTCCATAGCCAACAGTGTTTGTGAACAGAATGTCAAAAATTCCAAAGTTCTGGAGTAAAATCCATGATCCACACACAGTCTCACCTACCTCCATGGGATATTTCTCTCCATCTATGCTGTGCTCTGAGCCAGGGATGTGTTGTGGCTCACCTGGGACTCCCCAGTGCAAATGGAATTCCACTGCTTTGTATTTTCTCCTCAGACCCCCTCCTCCGACTTTAGGGGATGTGCTCAGTGTCACTTTAACTGGGGGRAAAAAACAGGAATTGTTTTAAAGGAGAAAAGCAGATCCTGCATTAACAGTATGTGAGAGCAGAGATGTTCTTGAAATTCAAATTTATCTTMAAATTCTCACTTGGCTTTTCAGACYGAGTGTTGCAGAAATTCAACTCTGYAGAAGCTGAACTCTTACAAAATCATAGATGAGTTTAATTTGAGATGAATTATAACCATGATGACTTCTGGAGTCAGAGCTTTTATACCTCTCAGAAGACCCTGTATTGCTTTATTTCTCTTTCCAATAAAACCCCTTCTATCAAAGTAAATTTGATCCCAGTTTATTTAGATTTAACCATCGTTTTAATCTCCTGTTATCTGCACAGTAACATTTCCTTTGGGCAGGGCTTAAAGATATTATGTTTTAATTTGGAGTAGTGTTGCAGTTTAAGCCTAAATCATACATATTGGAGATATATTTTTAAAATTTTACTTTTTAAGACCTCCACATTAAGCGCAGCACTTTTCCTCACGTAGGAAAATTCCGGATTGCAGCCCCAGAGGAAAATTCTGGATTGCAGCCCCAGAGATTTCATTTCTGTTCTGAATTCCAAATGAACTTGGAGAGTGCATGAGTCATTTAGTTCCTTTGCTTTTTAATCTGTAAGTGGATGAGTCAGATGTCTTTGTGGGCTTTGTTTATTCAGTTCAAGACCTTTGAGACATCGACCTTTGCTGCCTGCCCATCACGGAACATGCCCAGCTCTAATCTCACCTGCAGCCTCTAATTGCAGCTGAGATTTAAGCAATAACCTCCTCATTTCGCTGGAATTGGTTGCCCTCAGAAGGAAGAAATTTTAAAAGCCCAGATTAAAGCCCTAATCCTTATGCATGGCTGGGGAAGATGAGGGTTCTGGGCAATCCTTATAAATATTAATTTTGGTGTAAAAGGGGCTGTAATATGGACACCCTGGAGTATCACCCTGGAATGGGAAAGCCATTAATCCATACATTAGTGAAAAGTCAAAACATTCCTTTTTCTGATGGTCTGCCAYGATCCCAGTGAGAATAAGAATGTTTGAAATTAGAATCTCTGGCTGCTAAAATCTCCCCAGCTGCCTGCTMACCTTTCCCTTTTAAATCAGGAAATATTTGCCACACGCTACTTTCTGCTTTGAGGATTTTGCAGTTAAAATACCCCACCTAGGATTCCTTTAAACACCCACAGGTAATGTTAAAAGAAAACAGACCACAGGTTTCTTTTCAAAGTTGAAGTAATTGAACATAATTCTGTTGGAGCAGCATCCTCAGCGTTGTGAGGAATGGGAGGAAGCTGGAGGAAAAGGAACAGTTTTGCATTATTGCTCATTGCTTCAYTGTTTACTGATTCACCCAGGAGCTGATCGACATCAGACAACTTCTGTGTGCAGAGAAAACAGGTTGGAGTCTGAGAAGATTTCAGCTCAGTATTTAAAGAACTAATGACTTTCCCACACGACGCTTTTCTCCAGCACAGTTCTTTGTGCAGGGGAAAGGACAAGCCCAGGAATGAAGGGGTTTCAGCAGGAAATGATAAAATTCTGCCCAAATTGTTGTCCTGGAGCCTTCTGCCCCCCTGCCCCCAGCCCTGGGGTTTTTTTGGGTCAGAGGGTTCTGGTTCAGAGTTTCTGTGACACCTCCAGCTGTTTCYGCACAGGACCAATTCCTTCTAAGACACAAAAACCACATCCAAAACACCAAAATTTGATCATTCCCACAAACTGCCCAGGGAGCTTCGGCTCCAGGGGCTATCTGGGAGTTCCACTTCTGAAATGGAAGGGTGGCATYTCATCTGAGCTCCCCTGCTGCTCTCCAGGAACAGGGAAAGAATGAGGGAAGGCACAACTCCATCCCCCARGAGCAGATTTGGGCAGTACTTGCCTGTGTGACCATTATTTTCCACATCCCACTTCGCAGAGCCCTTCACATCATATCCTTCAAAAGTCAAGGGYGTAAGGCTCTTGTTATAAACCACATTTCGGGTGACAATGTTGACAGGGGACTGTCTGCTCCCTTTGCAGGCTGCGTTTATCTGGTGCCATTGAGATGGATCTGTTTAAGGATGAAGAAAATATTTCTATTTTTTTTTTTTTAAACAGACAACAAACCCTTGAGAAAGCCAAATCACCAATTCTTGCTTGGAAAATTGAAGACATGACCCCAACTTGCTGGGGTGAATTTCCTCTGGTGCACATTTGGTGATTTTTACATTCGTATTTTTACATTCATATTTTTACATTTGTGTTTTTACATTTGTGTTTTTACATTTTTTTTACATTTACTTGTACTTTTTCACATTATTCTTGGCTGAAACAAAACCAACAGTTACCACAAACACCAATGTCTCCAAAATACCCTGTTTAACACTGCCATGTACGAATAATGTGACCATGATGCATTAAAGGCTGAATTCTGTGAATTTTTGCATTATTTCTCYCAAGAACCCCTTGGCAAAACAGAAGAATCACCAGTGGGATTTTTGGAATAATAACTTGCTGGGCAGTACCTTCACACAGTGGCTGCTCACACTTCTGGGACTGATAACACCAATGGCCTCCCACTAAAAAAAAACAAATTAAATAAAAACATCAGGTGAGTGAAAAGTTGTACAAATTATCCCCCCCCCCAAAAAAAAAACAAAAAAAAAAAACCAGCAGGGAAATGGACTGGCAGCTCTGCCCTTTTTAGGTCTCATCCTGCTCTTTCATAAATCACTTTATATCTGTGAATATCCCCCAAAAAAACATTGCTGGAGGAATCTTCAGCATTCTGGATCATCAGAATTCTGGATGGGTTGCAGTCCCAAAGAATTTGATTTTCAAACCTTGGCTCCCTCAGCTTTCTTGAGGCAAAAGCTCCACATTTGAATATAGGCAGTGTTAAATTAAATTTCCTTTTATCAGCTCTGCACTTGCCAGCCTTTCACAGACGTGTAAACTCACTTATGCAAGAGGACTTATCTCACCCCGTTCCAGGAACTCTGTAAAGGTTACTTGGAGGAATTCTGAGAAGTGAAGGATCTCACTTCCTGAAAGAACCTGCAGGATTTTTAGTCCAACTCACCTGGGACCCCAGAAAAATTCTCCAGTACAACATCTGAATTTCTCTTTTGCATTCTCAAAAGAAATCCCAAATTCAGAGGGAAAAAGCTGATTTAACTTTATGTGTTGATCTAACTTGGGGCTGTTTTGTTTATCCCAAGTTGTTTCAGTGGCTCTTTATTTATTCTAAACTTTAAATTGACTTTGACAGGGGTAGTTCTCCTTGGCTATTTAACTTCAATCCATAACAATTCAAACCCTCTCATAATCATGATTAATACCACAGCTTCTGTTTGCTTGTGATTAGTAAATGATAGACATTTTAATAAATGGCTAATCAATTTTAAGGATAATTATGGAGGAGCCCTGTCACTTGACTGGTAATTACCTTAATTTGTAATTTATAACCCACCTGCTGGGAGGCTCAGAATGGCTTTTACCACCTTTATCTTGATATCAGTGGCACAACAATGGATCCATCCATTAAAGATTTAAAAGTTATAAACAGGGAATTGTTATAAAATGTGAGTTAGCTGTGACACAGAGACCTGCTGGCAATTAATGTAACCTTAAAAAAAATGATAGTTTTGGTTTTTCTTTCACAAATCCCAAATTTCTGCGGAAAACTACAAACAATGTTGCCTCACTTTCTAGTTTGGCAGGATTGGGAAGAAAAGCAAACATTGCTTTTTTTGTGTGGTAAGAACTGCGGGGATTTCTAGGTTGCTGTTCCATTAATATTTTATTGCTGTTCCATTAATATTTTATTATCCAAAAATCATCTTGAACAAGGTTTAATTCTTTTGGAGGACTTCTAAACACACACAAAACTTCACTTTCCAACACTGATTGTTGCATTTTTTTTTTTCCAGGGCAATGGCCTGAGCTCCAGCAGCTCCTGAGCTTTTCCTCATTCCCACTGGGAATCAGCAGAGGTTCCAAGCACAGGATGTCACCACGTGCCTTAATCGATAATTTTGGTCAATAAATGCCTGAAGAACACCAGGTGAGGTGATCTCCACACTACCTGGGCATGTTCCATTTGTGATTTTTTTTTTTTGCATGGATGAAAGACTCCAGGTGTGTTTTTGGCAGCTGCTCAGGGGTCAGTGTGAACTTGAACAATTCCAGCACCCCGGGATTGGGAATTTCTTGGCAATTCCTGCAAGAATGAAACTTCAGGAGAAAAAAACTAGTGCTCAGCAGGAATAACCTCAATAATCTCTGACTCTTTGGGATTGACAGCAGAGGGGGAAGGTGTCAGGTGAGAGCTCCAGGCTGGGCTGTGTCACTGGGGTTGCACAAGAGTGGGAGCATGGCCCAGACATCAAAGCATTTCTGCAATGCAAATCCAATTTTCCAGTCAGTCTGAGCCACAACTGGGTGTCACAGCAGCAGGTTCTGGGGTTCAAGGCTGTGAAGCTTTTAAACCACGACTGTAGAACCACAAAAACCAAACAGAGCCACAGCAGATCCCGAGGGAAGGGAAATTATCCCCAGATTGTGCACGTTGTGGTCATAAATCAGTGTCTGAGTGCCAGAGGTGGAACAGGAATGGGTTATGGAGCTTTTCACTGGCAAATCCACCCTTCTCAAACAAAGCTTCACTGACTTTTTACTGCCTGAACAGGTGTCTGGCAAGTTCTGTCAAATAAACTTGTGGGTTTCTCTCAGGGCTCAGCAAACCGACAGGTGAGCCCAGTAAAAACCTTCCAGCCTGGGCATCGAGATGAGGAAGGAGAAAAAGTTTAATTAAATAAAACAAAATTTAATTTTAAAAATGGAGTGTTCATGCCTTCTTTTGTCAAATAATTGGTGTCTGGTTTTTGCAGCTTTCCACCAAATTCCTGGTGTCTCTGAACAAGGCAGGAATTGTGTTTTCTATCCAGTCCCTGTCCCGGTTGTGGCTGGAAGGTATCAGTGAAGTAGAACAGCACAGAAATTCAGCATTTCACAGGAAAAGCTCCCTTAAGCTGTTAAACCTTAACGCAGGCGCTAATTAAACATTTCAGAGTGCCTGAGCAAACAGCCAATTCATGTTTATTGTGAATTAGGGCTTTTTTTTTTTTGATTGGCAGCGATGGAACATTGGGGAACAGGATCCTTTGTGTGGGTGCTGCTCAGGAGGAACCACGCAGCTTCACCTGAGTCCCCGAGGAGGAAAATTTGCATTCGGATTTTGTGTAAGCCTGGTGTGATGCCTCCCTCCCTATAGGAACCTTGAATTACAATGGTCCTTTCTTCCCCTGAGCTTTAGGGCTTTCTCTCTGGAGCACCAAGGGAAGATCTTTGTCACATCCCGGTGATTCTCCCTGGTTTTAAGCACGATCATGCCCTGAGCTCTGTTGTCCAGGCTGTTTTTAATTGTTTGAGTGGCTCCTGCCACTTCCCTTGGAAGACTTTTCCACAGTCTATTAGCCCTCACTGTCAGGAAATGTTTCCTATTTAATAGCTTACATTTTCCACTTCCTTATCTGCATCCCATCACTCCTAGAAATATCACTGAACCACCCTAAACAATTCTTTTCCCTCCCTGGTGTTTACAGCATTCAAATAGTTCCCTCTGAATCTGTAATTCCTGTTCTGCCTTCATCCATCTTTTATCCCATCTCCTGACAAGGGTGCCCTTCACCTTCCCACCATCCCCACCTCAAAATCTCCCTCTGAACCCCCTTTTTCTACAGGGCCTGGGTACCCCACACATCCCACCCTTATTGATCTTTCAACCAAATCTCACCTACCACATTCTCTTTCCTGTTGTTTATTTTATTGCTGGAAAAAAACCAGCAGAAAATGGGTTTTTTGTGTGTTTCAGAGGGAGTTTTTGGGTTTTTTTTGTAGCTGGGGTGCTGAAACCATTGCTATGAAATGTAGGTATAGATACATGAATATACAGAGATATAGATATATGGATATATAGATATATGGATATATAGATATATAGGTGATATATAGATATATAGATATATAAATATATAGATATGTAGATATGTAGATATATAGATATATAGATACTTAGATATAGAGTTATATTCACACCTGGGCTGTATTATCTGTTTATCAATTGTATTATCAATTACATCTCAATCTTTTTTTTTATGGATCTTTGATTGAAGTGGTTCTGTACCATACCATAGGTGTCCCACTGACTCGATTTGGTTTAATTTAGAGTAGGGCTGCACTGGGCTGGCTTTTCCTCCCCAGAGGTCAGGACAGTTAAATTTAGGGAGTCTCTCTTGGCACATGGCCAGCCCCACTTATCTCTGCCTCTTCCTCCTCGGATTTACAACTGATTTCCTGGCCAAAGCTGCTTCTTGGCACGGGGAGGAGCTGGAAAACAATACAATTACGTATTGTTTTCATTTTCTTGTAAACGTTTTCGATTGTTTTAGCTATCAAGACTCGCTTGGAAGCTCGAGGCAAAAAAAAAAAAAGAAAAAAAAAATTGAATTCCTTCAGTAGAGAACTCCCTCTCCTGTGCGCTTAGGCAGGACAGTGGTGCTGGCCGGGAGTCAGGATGGGAGCTTCACCTTGTGTGATCTAGGAAAGGACCCTTCAGCTCTTTGGATCATGCTCAGATTGTCTGAATTCTGTAAAAGTTCCGAAATCGGTTTTGTCCCCCTTGTGCTCGCGGTGCTCGCGGTGCCGCGGGACGGGCGGTGCCAGTGGCTGGAAATGCCCATTTTTAACCTGGTCCTGTTCACTAAAGAGTCCCTAAAAAGGGCTAAACACACTCAATTTGCGCTGCTGACACGGTGGCTGCAGTTTATTCATTTTCTGTGCTGCCAGCTGTTTTTATTAACTCCCCTGAGCCTCTGAAAGTGTGAATGACCTTGGTGCCACCAGCAGCCTGGGACAGCAGGAAAATCCTGCTCTGCTTATCAATCCAAATCCCTTCTCTCTTTCACCGACCCAGCCCTTTGTTTGTCCCTGGAGCCTCCTGTCACCCTTTCAGCCACATCCTGTCTTAGCATTCCCTGTTTTCCCTGGGATGCCCTCAGTGCCAGAGCTCTCCCTGTTCTGTTTTCCTCATTTCTCAAATCCATCCCAAAATCCACCGTCACCCTTGCAGCCTTTTCCAAACCTGGGCTTGCATGGGATGTATTTTTAGGCCAGGCTTGTGTTGGTCTCATCCTATTTTTAGCTGGCTTTGTGAAACTTTCTATTTTTAGTGCAAAAGACAAAACAACTTAAAAGCAATTGTTATCTAAGGCTGTCTTTCTAATTAATGAGATTGCTGAGCACAAAGTGAGCATATATACATGAGACTATTTATACATTCTCAAGCATTACACATCCTCAGGAAGCCCCAGCCAGTCTCTTTGACAGTCAAAATCAGTTCTAAAAGTTCACCTCGAGATCTGTGTCTCTCTCCAAGTGTTTGTGGTCATTCATTGCTCGTCACTTTTAACCTGGAATTTTATTTTTCGTAGTGATACACATCTTTATGCATTTATATTCCAGGATGTGATGGGAATTGGCCCTGAAAATCAGCTTTATTGTGGTGGTGGAGCCTTGCAAGTCAGCACATCTGAGGTGAGCACAGTGTTCCTCACATGTTTATGTCATAATTCATGTGAGTACGTGCACATAAATCACGTGCTCAGCGAGCTCTTTGGAACACATAGAAACTGCAGTAAAAATCCAGAGAGGCTCAGGGATTCTGGAAATGCCCTGTGAACATCTGCAAACGCCTTCCTTTGTGTCAGAGTTCGAGGGGAAGGTTTGTAGCTGTTTGACCTGTGATACTCTGTCCTGGAGATCTGCCTTCAGAAATGTCCTTTAACAAAAAATGAGTATCCAGGGCTAAAGTGATTTCCATCTGTGAGGGGTTTTGCCTGGCTTTGTTTAGTAAAATACAA